AGAGAGAGAGAGAGAGAGAGAGTGATGAACTGACGGGATGACGGATAGAATGACAGGGAGAAAAAAAAATTAAACTCTATGAGTGATACGAACCGTTCTTGGCAACTGAGAAAGCCTAGGGACTGTTCAATTATTTATTAAAAATTAAGAAGATCGGCAAAATAAGACGAAAACTTATCCAAGTATAATAAAATAATTCTAAAACATACCAAATTATAAAGATAATCTTTCATGACGCTAAAAGATTTGATTATAATAAGAAATGGTGAAAATGTATTTTTAAAACTGAATTTAAGATATGACTACATGATTCTAGACTTGGGTATGGGTATGAGGGGCCTTGTTGGCTCTACCTTACGAAACATGCCTTGGCTGTAAGCTCAGGCGATAGGCTTTTATATTGCGAGTTCGATGTTCGGCAAAATCAAAGGCGTCGATGAGGAGTTCACACCTGGGCGTGATTCCTTTGTCGTAAAATCCTTGCGTCTGGAGCAAACGTGTACCTCGCATCAAGAATTTAGAGCGGAGATGTGATCTCATGCATGAGCATGGATGACCTTTGAAGGTTGTTTTTTTGTTTGTTAAGTAAAGTACGATAGGGAAAGCAGCGTTTTTAGTTCCTTCACTCTTACAGAGGGGGATAATTTATCTTAGGGATGACTAGTGCAGTAAATTTTATTATTGCTTTGTTTGGTTTATTTTTTTTACAGCAGAATCTTAAGTGAACCGGAATTATAAATTGTGGGATCTTAGGTGAAGACTACAACAATAGATTTAGATCTAAACCAAGCGTAGTTCTATCAAACAAGACTCAAACTGTTATTCTTCCACCCTACCCCCTCCCTTCATCTGATATGGTTTGGTGTTTTAAAATAGAAGGTATTCATCATTATTGTTGTTGGGTATTGATTTCATATTTTAATGGAGCCTCTCGATATCTACATCTAGACAACAGTAGTCTTATAGTAATTAGGAGATGAATGGGCTTAAAATATTTAATAAGTCTGACTGACTGATTGAACTCAATACGTTAAGGTGTGTTACATGATTAGTAAATATATGAAATAAGATACATGTAGAAACCTAGACTCTAGATTTTGCCCCATCAAAATAAAGGTCTCCTGGGCATAGCATCTGATTTACACACACAATGGAGAGCAATATAATATACTTTAATTAAAATGTTTAATATGTATATATATATACATACACACA